GTGCGTGTGTGTGTGTGTGTGTGTGTGTGTGTGTGGTGTGTGTGTGGGTGTGTGGGTGTGTGTGTGTGTGTGGTGTGTGTGTGTGTGTGTGGTGTGTGTGTGTGTGTGCGTGCGTGTGTGTGTGTGTGTGTGTGTGTGTGTGTGTGTGTGTGTGTGTGTGACTGTAAACAAGTCTAAGTGATGTTTTATTTTTATTATATTTTATTAGAGTTGTTAGTAGGAGAAACATTTTGGGTTTTTAACATAGTTAAATTGTTTATTTAGGTTTCCCCCTTTTGTTAGTAGGAGAAACATTTTGGGTTTTTAACATAGTTAAATTGTTTATTTAGGTTTCCCCCTTTTTTTAACCGGTTTTGTTTTTTGACAGTCTCCTGGGAGCTCAGACTGAGTGACCTGGAGGAAAAGGTCGTTGACGAATTCAGCTCCAGTGGCTTCAGGTGCCCAACGTGCCTGGCTGTGCAGGGGAAGAAATGTGATGTGGAGCTCAGATGGTGTGCTGCAGATAAAATAAAGTGTGTTGAATTCTTTGGCATCGTAAACACAGGTACTGCTCTAAACGTGGTGTTCTGCAGCCACCAAGATGTAGAGGGCAGATGTGTGTTAAGGTTCTGGAGAAGCCTGCTTTGGCCCAAACCTCTTAGGCATGGTGACCTGGAGGTGCATTGCCCTTGGAGACATGCCCCCTTTCCTTTCTCCTGTCATTCACTTCTGAATGCATACGTGCATTGATTGGCAGACTTCAAAGATGCTGTCTCGGCAGACTGAGACTTTGGCCTCTGAAAGCCATTTCTGTGTAGGAGGGAGGGTCTTTTTGCTCTGGATTTTAAAATTTCAAAGTAAAAGTTTTGGGGAGAGGCCATGAATAGGCTTCAGAAAGATCATAAAGAGTAACATACTGTGCTTTGAAAAAAGTCAGCGTAAACTTGTAAAACAAAGACACAAGTTAGCAGGGCTTAGGAACGTAGGAGGACTCATGGCCGGGGTGGGCTGTCCTGTGGGGGCGGGGCTGCTCCCAGCATTGTTTTCACCACGCCCATCTCTCCTGCTGACGTTGGGGACCTGTCTCCCCGTCTCCGGGAAGTGTATCATCAGGAAGGTGATGGCGGGGCTTAGCCACATTGCTTAATCTCCTGAAGTCTTACATTTCTGCCTGCTATCATTTATGAAACATAATGATTTGGTTTTGCTTTAGAATAGCAGTGAAAGATGGTATCCAAAGGTGGAAAGATTAAATTATTGAGAGCAAAGACTATCTGCCATGTAAAAGAACATACATGAAGGCGCTTTAAAATGCAAAAAAAAACCCCCAAAAACCAACAACAAAAACCCAACCATGGCCAAATGCTAGCTTTCTATGGCCGTTGCTATTTCTTAATAGACAACCAAGACCAAGAATAAGGGAGGAATAGATTTATGTCTTTTTATTCCAAGTACATGACTGAATTACAGATACACCAGCTTCTTGAGTATCGATAGCATACAAGATGCTCAAAGTATTTCAATTTCTGGTATCTATTGGCATAAAGTATCTCTAAAGCGTATGCTAGATTCCCCAAATAGTAATTTGGGTTAGAAACACGTTCTTTTAATAATGCTTAGAAGGCATACCAATATTTGACTGACACAGATTATAAGGAAATTTAAGTATTCGAAGGCCCCATGTGTGGAGGAAAACATTCTAGCCCATTGCCTGTGCTAGAGATATCAGTGTTGGGCAGGTCACTGAAGAGGATAGCTAACTTATGTCCTACGACAGGCCAGAGAAAAGGGGGAATATAAAGGAGGAGGAGGAGGAGGAGGAGCATGGAAGTCTTACCGTATGGCTTCTTGCAGGTAATAACAGCAACATCATCGTTGAAATGAAGAAGTGCATACCCACCGGCCTCTGCAGTGGGAGAGTAACTTCTTACATGGGTCTTCCAGTCACCAATGGGAGCACCGTGTGCAAGTCAGCCGTCAGAAGCGCGGCCAGCCCCCGGCACCCCCCGGCCGGCTTCCTCCTCCTCCTTGTCCTGGAGAAGCTACTTCATTAGCCCCAACAAAGGCCCGGCTGTTTCCGGTTATAAAGGAAGTTGCTTTCTTTGTTTACAGTCCACGGGTTTAGTCAGTTGCCCCTTTATTTACTCCTTGTGTGTGCTCCGCTCCGCAAAGGCGGGTCAGGGTAAAGTCAGGTCCTTGTCTTTCAAGTCATCGAAGTCCGTGTGAGCACATGGACACGCAGAAGCGCACGAGGCCATTGCTTTGGCCACGTGGTAGAAGTGGGAGGTGGTGAACTGGATCAGGGAAATGTGAAGGTTTTAGACGCGGGGCTGGAGAGTCAGGCAGAGGTCACAGCGCAGCAGCTGCCGCCGACAGCAGAGAGAGGAGGAAGCGAGTGGCAGCCCAGGCTGGCTGGGAGAGTGCGCCGGGAGGGGGGGCGGGAAGGCGCTGACTCCAAGCCGGCCTGCTCTGCTGGGAGCGGGGGAGGCCCTGACTCCAAGCCGGCCTGCTCTGCTGGGAGCGGGGGAGGCCCTGACTCCAAGCCGGCCTGCTCTGCTGGGAGCGGGGGAGGCCCTGACTCCAAGCCGGCCTGCTCTGCTGGGAGCTGGGGAGGCCCTGACTCCAAGCCGGCCTGCTCTGCTGGGAATGGTGGAAGGCCCTGACTCCGAGCCGGCCTGCTCTGCTGGGGGGGGGGGGGAGGGGGGAAGCCACCCCAGGTCCCTGCCAGGAATTCAGGATCCGGCCTCGGCGTCAGTCAGGGTGCTAGCACCACCACTGTGTTCCTTGTTTCTGTCGCTAACTGCACAACACAGGTGATTCTAATTTTTGGCTATTTGTTAAAATACAGTAACGGTGTAGCTGGGAGGAAAAGACTGAAATGGTAGTTTTGCATCACATGGAAAGGCCTTCAATTAAACGCCCCAACAGTCACACTCAGGGGCCAGAGGTCTCTAATGATAGAGAGTGCTATAAATGACTTAGGCAATGTAATTCTGAACAAATGACTATTTTTTTTTTTTTTCTGGAAGGGCTTCCAAATTTATAAAGAAATGCCAGTTCATGATTCCCCAAGCCAAGTTCATGGCCTAAATACTTTCTACTCTTTCACATCTGTCAGAGTAAAAAAACTCGGTTAAATATATTGGTTGTGTCATGGTAAGTGGTAACTTACATTTTCTTACCAATACACAGTACAAAAAATATGAACTAATTTTATGAAAAAAAGAGAGAGAAGCTTAGTTGTGTTATTGCTAAATAGATATGTGGATTCACCTTGAAAATGAAGTTTTCCACGAGTCATAATGACTGCACATTTGGAACAGAAATCATATTTCACACACTAGGAGCAAACACAGAAGGGACTTAGCCGTTTGTGTCCATGCATTTTAGGGAACACTTGGATGACCAGCAGCCTGCAGCAGAGCAGAGATTATTAGCATTATTTGCTGCTGGGTGACCAGCAGCCATTCCTCCCAGGAAGCTCCAGAGAGGCACCCCCAACCCGCCATCTCAGAGGCTGCTGGGAAGCCAGGCACATGCACTCTAGCTGCCCGGGAGGCTGAGATCTGCGGATCATGGTTTGAAGCCAGCCTACGCAGAAAAGTTTGCGAGATTCTTACCTCCAAGTAGCCACCAAAAAGTTGGAAGTGGAGATGTGGCTCAAGCTTGGGGACAGCACCTAGGTTCAGGCCCCAGGACAGCACGCACACACACACATGCACACACACACGCACGCATGTGTGCACGCACGCACACACACACACACAAAGTGCAGTTAGCCCTCCCTCTTTAGAAATCCCGCTTTCAGGCAAAGGATAGAAATCAATTCAGGGTGCTGTGATCGTTTTAGGGTATCATCATACTTTTAGGGTCTCCTTTGGGACTTCAGGATTCGCCAAGGATGATCAAACCCTTTTGACTGGTCTCTGCTCGCATGTCTCCGTTGAAATGGACGTGCTAAAACAGCTGATTGGTGCAACGCCAAGCCTCACGTTTCGGCAGACCAACGCAGCAAGAGGCTGCTTTCCACCTGCACATGGCTCACACCTTCAGCATTCTTTTGGTATGACTATTTTATTTTGGGTTTCCTTCAAATAGCAACTTATAGATGATTGTTTTCTGCCATACGGAGACTCCGTGTGCCCTGGAGCACAGGTCCACCATCCACAGGTGTGGAGAGAGCATACGAGATGGTTGTTTGATGGTTCCAAGGAGACCTGGGGAAGAATGCTTCCCTTAGCCCACAAAGAACAGCAAAGAGAGCTCTGAGATACGGTATGGCTTGGGCCAAGAAGGGAAAAGGAAACCCACTAGCACAATTACAGCAGGGCCTGATGTGAATAGAGACACATCCTGATCTTACAACCCCTCATTTGGAAAACACATTCTAGGGCCCCCTTTGGTGTAACTGAATATGGGAGAATCAAGGCGGCCATTTGATCGGAGTTACCTGCGGAGTCAACACCATAAAGACTCCTGTGAAGTATGGTGGTGCCTGAGTGCTTCCCAACCCTGCCATGGTGGCCACAGCTTTCTGGGATCTTGGCCTATGTATTTTCATCCTTTAATCTTAGTATTTAAAGCTACCTTCACAGAAAACCTCTGTCTGTATCCAGTGTACAGAGCAAGAAGCCCACACTCCTGAGTCTGAGATAGGGGACATAGATCCCATGCACCTGCAACTTCAACAAACTGGTAAAAGCCTCCCCGGGCCTTGAATTGCTCATGGAGAAACATTTTCTTAGCCGTGGGAGTAAGGATTAGAAGCAGCAATGAAGAATATCAGAAAAGAGATGTGCTCTGGGATTTGTGCCTGCAGATGTGGGTTCTAATGGGAATTGAATCCCGGAGATTCTTACAGATACCTCTCAGACTCTTAAGATGTACAATAGGGCAGGAAAAAGAAGCTCCTAGAGAATGAATAAGGATTTCTTTTAACCTAAAGTAAAATAAATAAGCAACTCCATACAGACTTATATAAGTTTCAGGTTTGTTTGCTTTTAATTCTCTCCCAAGAATTACAACACGTCCAGGTCTGTAGGATTATGGGATCATGCCAATGCCTGAACAATTAAAGCAAGAGCTTCAGCAGGAAGATACCAGCCAGGACTGAGGAGATGGTGGACGCCTGTTGGGGGCTTGCGTCCACAGCCCTGGAACAGGAGGTGCGTATTTGTGTTGACCCTATTACAGTGACGTCCTCCAGGTTGCAGGCAGATTCAGTTGCACAGCCCTTTCCAAAAAATACCAAGAAAGTCTGACCATCTTTGGTTCCTGCCAAAAAAAAAAAAGAGAAAAGCCTCAGGAGTGAGTCTCTGCGCCTGCTGCTCTCCCGGGCTCACGTCACTTCCTGTGGTCAGAGCACCTCCGGCTCAGGAAGAGACGGTCGCCATTTTCTCTCTGGTAGAGGAGAGACCTTACGGAGGGACTGAGCCTGGGGCCTCTGTGTTCGGGAGGAGAGCTTTGGCTGACGGAGGCAGAAGCTCTGGAGTCTGGCTAAAACTCTTGTGTGGTATACCCGTCTTCTTCCTTAGATTTGCGTTGTTTGGGGAAACCAGTCGAAAATAGTATAGCGTTCCCTTTCAAGATAAGGCCCCTTCTTCCAAAGGCCGCGGGGAGTAATACTGTGAAAACTCTACGCTGCCCATGTAATTTGGAGTGAAAGACTGTGTCCTCATCAGTGGCTTCATTCCCCTTCTGAATCTTACGTGACATCCCACGTGTCCAGGCATCCCAACTCCGGACCAAGTTCCCTCCCGGGCCAGCCTCAGATTACCAGCCACAGCCTCAGCTGACAGCTGACAGCAGTCAGCAGCCACAGACACCACGGGCCAGCCGCCCCTCCACGCGGGGCCCACGCTCACACCTACAGGTGCTGAGGGGCCAATGACTGGTGGTGGACGCGGTGGAGTTTTGACGTAACTAGTTCGTTATCCACCAGATGGCTCATGCCCTAGATCTACCCTTTCAGAAGATGAACCTCAATGCTTGGGAAAAAACACTGGTACCTGTGCCAGTGACCTCCACACAGCTTTTCTCTGTCCCTGTGCATTTCAGAGGAGCCGGGACGCAGGAAGACTCTTTCTCGGAGTAGCAGGCAGGACATTCAACTCCATTGGTGACTGAGGACTTCTGAAACACTGAATGAAGAGAGGTCAGTTTTCATCCTGAGGCCTAGGCACAAAAAATAGCTGGGAATATGACTACCCACCTCCACTCTGGGTCCTGATTCCTCCCAAGAATTTACAGCCGTGATGGCATCGGTGGGCAAAAGGGCCGTAAAGAAATCCAGCGGTTCTGTCCCTTGTATCAATGACCCTCTTCACCTTTGCGGAAGAAAGCTATCTACACAATGCGGAAAGGGTCACTTCTGATCGAAAGGAATGCTCTAAAATGTGTTCAGGGCTCACACCTGCAGTCCTGGCCTCTCGAGGAGGTGAATGGGGCCTTAAGGTTACTTAAGCCTAGCAGTGTAAGACCGGCCCGGAAACGTGGCGAGACCGGCCTCAACAAAGGAAAACCAGTAGCCAGCGGGCACATCTGCTAGGAGGCAGAAGTTTCAAAGAGCAAACCTCTAGGCCTCAAAGGCACCTTGACAGACCCCGGCAGCCCACCATCATCCCAGCTACTCGGGAGGCTGAGATGTGAGGATCACAGTTCAAAGCCAGCCTGAGTGGGAAAGTCTGTGAGACTCTTGTCTCCAATGAACCACCAAAAAGCCATAAGTGGCGCTGTGGCTCAAGAGGTAGAACACTAGCCTTGAGCAGAAAAGCTCAAGGACAGTGTCCAGGCCCTGAGTTCAAGTACAGGACCAGTGCCAATCCCCCCACCAAAAAAATACCCCCCAAAAAAACCAGTGTGAGAAATTATATGGAGGAAGAAGATGCCAACGGGATGCAAAGCAAAGCATTTGTTTCTTTGTTTGTAAAATGGGCTTTGAATGCAGGCCAGGGTGACCCCTAGCTTTTCCAGCCAGGCTGACACTCTTTCCACTTGAACCATAGCGCTACTTCCAGCTTTTGGGGGACTAATTGGAGCCAAGAGTCTCACAGACTTTTCTTCCCCAGGCTAATTTCAAACCACAATTCTCAGTGGTTAGAGATGCCTAAGTAGCTAGAATTACAGGCACGAGCCACTGGCCCCTGGCCAAATCAAAGCCTTTCACTCTACACTTAGTCTCTATATACACCCACTATTAGAGAAAACCCCGAGAACCAGCCCTGCCACTCAGCTGTCAGGCAGTCTCCCAAACAGGAGAGACGCTTATTTATGTCCAACCTTGGTCCTTCCAGCAGACAGTGAAAGTAGAAGCAATTAGCAGGAAAACCCCGGCATCTCTGCAGTAGAAATAGGTTCTAGTCAGGCACTCACAAGTTAGAGAAAAAAAGCCACAGGACAGAGACAGGAGCGAAGGGAGACACAGTGAAGTTGGCACTTACCCGGAAAGTTCTGGTTGCATCTGTCAGCTTGGCAGCATTGGTGCTTGTACTCAAATGTCCTCTGCTCCCCGAGTGTGGCGGAGAAAGACAGCGGCACGCAGCCAGGCACACAGCCCTTCTGCTTGTACTGTACAAACGCAGTCCCTGCAGAAAGGGGCGGGGTGGCCCTCCCTAAGTCACCCTTCAAGGATCCACCCCTCCATCCACCCCTCCATCCACCCCTCCATCTACCCCTCCATCCACCCCTCCATCCACCCCTCCACCCACCACCTCCATCCACCCCTCCATCCACCACCTCTATCTACCCCTCCATCCACCACCTCCATCCACCCCTCCATCCACCCCTCCATCCATTCCTCCATCCACCCCTCCATCCACCCCTCCATCCACCCCTCCACCCACCACCTCCATCCACCACCTCCATCCATCCCTCCATCCACCCCTCCATCTACCCCTCCATCCACCCCTCCATCCACCCCTCCATCCACCCCTCCATCCATTCCTCCATCCACCCCTCCATCCACCCCTCCATTCACCACCTCCATCTACCCCTCCATCCACCCCTCCATCCACCCCTCTATCCACCCCTCCATCCACCCCTCCATCTACCCCTCCATCCACCCCGCCTGCCCACCTCCTGCTGGCCAGGGCTTACTGTGAGGCAGAATGTGCTAGAAGGAGTGAGCCTCCGCCCCCCGTTCCCCCCCCCGTTCCCCCGCCCCCCCCATTCCCCCACCCCGCATTCCCCCCTTCCCCCACCCCCTGTTCCCCCCCCCCGTTCTCCCGCCCTCCCGTTCCCCCGCCCCTCCGCCCCCCGCCCCGCATTCCCCCCTTCCCCCACCCCCTGTTCCCCCCCCGTTCTCCCGCCCTCCCGTTCCCCCGCCCCTCCGCCCCCCGCCCCGCATTCCCCCCTTCCCCCACCCCCTGTTCCCCCCCCCGTTCTCCCGCCCTCCCCGTTCCCCCGCCCCTCCGCCCCCCGCCCCGCATTCCCCCCTTCCCCCACCCCCTGTTCCCCCCCCCGTTCTCCCGCCCTCCCGTTCCCCCCGCCCCCCCGCCCCCCGCCCCGCATTCCCCCCTTCCCCCACCCCTGTCCCCCCCCCCCCGTTCTCCCGCCCTCCCGTTCCCCCGCCCCCCCGCCCCCCAGGGCGCCTGCAACGTGGCCAGCGTGGCCGTGTGGCTGATGTCTGTGGTGACTCACCAGACTTGTTCCAGAACTGCATGTTGGTGAAGCAGCCATCGGTGCTTTCACAGGTCTTTGGTTCCTGGGTGCACGTGTCCAGCAGGCAGTCTTCACAGGTGAACGTCTCTACAACAAGGACGCGCATTGCTCGAAACCAACTCAGGAAAGGAAGCTGTCAGGCACTGTAGTGGTTTCCAGTACAGGAGACATGCGTGGAGACGGGCTCCACAAGGCCCTGTCCTCCAGGGACTGACCACTCCACCCCGGGGCCTTCCCTGCCCCCCCCAGCACGTTGGAAGAAAGGTGTTGTTTATGTACTCTTACCCACAGTGCTGAACACACAGATGGCCAGGACGCAGACGCGGAGGAGGCTCCGGGGCACGGAGAGCCGGGGCATGGCCGCTCGGTGAGAGTCTGCAAGGAGGGGCCAAAGTGGTCAGCACTGTGGGGCTCTGCCGGACGCAGCCGCAGACGGGGTGGTCGTGAAGATGACCTCCCCGCTATCATGCTGACGGGGTGGTCGTGAAGATGACCTCGCCACCATCACGCAGACGGGGTGGTCGTGAAGATGACCACACCGCCATCACGCAGACCGCTGTCTATTGGATAATTAATGTTCCAGATACCACCACGGGGCAAGGAGTAAGTTTAACTAACAGACACTGTTTTTCCTCAACTTCCACATTTATTGGTTCAGATTGGACCTGGGAACACGTAAGGGAGGTACAGGAAAATAGAAAGGGGGCACGTTCCAAGAAGGAGATGACAAAAAATCAGGGATTTCCTCACGAAAATAAGTACCTACAGGGACTCTGTCAGCCACGCACCGTGCGTCTTTACCTGGCACAGGATAAAATGCGGCGCAGCCGGGATTTTCAGGGCATGCGTCAGCCCTCCATCAGCTCTGCAGCCAGTCGGGGTCCCCTCCGGACCCAGGGTCCCACAGGCTGAGCTCTAAGCCTTCCAAAACACAACTGTGCTGTCACCCAGTCACTCACTTGCAAGGGAAAAGCGATCAACTCCTGGATCTGTGCCGGACGGGCCTCTTTGGGGGGACACAAAATGAAAGTGCTATTTCCATCACCAAGACATTCAGGAAAAAAACAGCTTTCTCTCAAGGCTTTTCACACAGCAGGGGCCCTTCCTTGTATGGGTAAAGGAGGTGTTAGAGCCCCACATCAGACCTCCACAGCTGAGACAAATGGCCTGGAGCTTACTCAGCTTGCTTACTCTGCTGCTGCTCAACCATTTGATTCAAGGTGCCAGGTGGGCTTTTTGCTGGGTTTTGTTGTTGCCGTTGTTTTTATTGGAGGTAGGAGTCTCATGGACTCTTCTGACTAGCTATTTTCAAGCAATAACCTTCCAGATTTGAGCCTCCTGAGTAGTTTGGAGAACCTGTGTAAGCTACCAGCAGCTAGAAACCATTCTCATAGAGAATGTTCTATGTGCTTAGGAAGGTGTCTTGGCTGAGCGCATGGATCTATCCATTCTGAAGTTGTCCTCCACTCCGGCGTCCCCACCCCACAATGAACATGCTCACCAACGGTCCTTCTGATGTTCTTCTGCAGGGACAGCCTCCGGGTGGAGAAGCCAAGAAACGAGGGGAAATGCGGACGGCAGCAGCGAAGGCAGCCTCTCCTCTGCAGCCCCGCTTTCTCCTACTTTTATAGGGCCAGTCACATGGCCCTGCCGGCCCTCACTGCCTGCTCCTCATCCCCAGGGCTGCCCTCCCAGCCCCACGCCTGCAGAGCCAGTTCCTGGAAGAGGCTCACCCCGCCCCTAATGAAAGTACACATCTCCCCGGTGAGAATGCGGTAGCTGCATGTGTTATTTCACAACTAATAACTTCCTTTTTTCTATCCTTAGATCCCGGCGCGCTTCCCCCGCCCTGCGCCCATGTATCCATCTCCCACTCTGGGCCTCGTTCCTCGGGCCTGTCTGCAGCCATGAGGAAAGTCAGGTCCAACGGACTGAGGTCTCAGTCTCTACTCTTCCCTCTCGTCTCCTGGATCTTCTCTGACAATAATGATGAGAGCATGGTCGCTAAAGCATGGTGAAATCTCCACTCAGAGACAAGCACGCTGAGCTGGCTGTGCTAGGGAGCTGCGGGGGACGTGCTGGCCCGTCACCTGCTGGCTGGGTGGCGACCGGGTCCCCCGGGGCCTCGGGGGTCCATCGATGACTCATTTATTTATTCCTTCTATTATCTCTCTCACCTTCCTGCAAAAGCCGCAGAGTCACGCATTCCTGGCTAGCTATGGCGTCTGGAGATGAGGATGGCCACTGAAAAGTCTCAAGCCAGGTGGCCAAACCTGCAGCCCAGCGCTGGTGACGACCCCCGTCCCCTTCCGCTCCCTGCTGTCCTTCCAGCCTGAGGAGCGGCTGGCATCGGTTCTGAGAGCTGCTCGGGCAGAAGGCGCCGGCTCTGTGACCGCGGTGGAGACCGGGGGTCCCCTCCCACGTCTCCCAGGGATGGCCCGGCCCCAGCCAGGATGGCCCGGCCCCAGCCAGGACGGCCCAGCCCCAGCCAGGACGGCCCGGCCCTGCGCACGCTTCCTACCGTGCTGGCTGAGCTGCGGTGCAGCCAGCGAGGTGCAGCTGCTGTGCAGCTGCTGTGCGGCTGCTGTGTGGCTGCTGTGTAGACGGGCCGAGGCTGCCAGGGGAAGCACGCTGGCCGGGGAGCAGGCCAGGCGCTGAGTGCGGTCTAGGTGCGCGCTGTACTTTAGGAAAGAAAGGGAATGGACACGCTCTCTACGTAGTTGTGCTGAGGGACGCCAAGTCCACGTGCTCCCTTGTGATGCCGTCGACCTCTTCCACCCCAGCTCATCCTTCAATGCAAACGCGCGCTTGGTCGAGGCCTGCGTCCGCCCACCGTCCTCCCTTCTTTCCTCTCCTTCCCCGGCTTCTCCCCCGGCCTCTTCCTACTCATTTTGTCCAGGGTAGGCGAGCTGTCCACGGGCGCGACCGTGCTTCAGCTCACGTGCGTGTGTCCCTGTCCCACAGCGCGCAATCCCTCAGGAGAGCTGTGGTCATCCCTGGGGCGAGAAACAACACGCTGCCCTGGCCCGTACACACACACTGCCCAGCGGGAGGAGTACGCCCTCCCGACCCGGCACCTCCCGACGCACCTCTGCCGTCCTCCTCAGACCCTGGCTGCCGGGTGGCCGGGCACCTAGCACCCGAAGCCTGCACCATGCTGCTCCCCGCCCGGTTGCACGTGAGCAGAAGTCTACGTCAGCTTGCTCGGCTACCACGGGCCTCCACGCCCGCTGGGCTCCACGCTTCCCGGTGGCGTCTGGACCGCAGGCGGCAGGACCTGGCCCCCTTTGGCCCGTGGATCCCCTGCAGCCCTGCTGCCTCTCGGCCGGTTCTCTCCTCGCCCCTTGCCTCTGCTCCTGGCTGTGGATCTCCGAGGCTCCCCTGTGCTCACGGACGGCTGGGCCTCTGCAGCCACTGCCCACGCACACGAGCCTTCAGCTTGGTGTCCTGCTCGCCGCTGATGACAGTCGTTGATGACCCGCACATACGCACAGAGACGCCAGGTCAAGACGCAAACTGTGTATAGCACTCGCCTAGAGACGGCCTCTGCAGAGCCGCCCACCGCCCACCACACACGTGGGGATAATAATCGCTATCTGAACAAGGCATGCTATGCTGCACATGGAGAGGGAGGGTGAGGTCTGTCTGTCTGTGCACACCAGATAACCCCGGGCCCTCCCCGGGACTCCCTCCCCCCGCCCTTCCCCTCCCCTCCCCCATTCCCCTCCCCTGGACCCCTCCCCTGGCATGGGCCCTCTCCCATCCCCTCCCCCACCCCCTCCCTGCATAGCATAGACAGACAGACAGGTAATAGAAGATAGATGATAGATAGATAGATAGACAGACAGACAAGAGGCAGGTAGACAGAAAGTAGGTAGCTAGGTGATAGATAATAGATCGATAGGTAGATAGATGTTAGATACAGACACTAACCTTGCCAGCCTGGTTCACAGCAGAGATGATCCTAATTCAAGGCCCAGAGCTGTGCTCTGCCCCCAGCTCCCTCCATGAGCCCGCCCCCCACCCCTGCCCCCTGCACCCCACATCCTGCCCCCCACACCCTGCACCCCACATCAGGCCGGCCTCACCTGCAACCAACACTCAGTCTAAGAGTCCTCCTCCTCCACAGGAGTCTGGAAAGCACAAACAGCAGCCGCAGACCCGCACACGGAAAAGCCCTCCTTAGATGGAGTGTGAACATATGGCTGCGACACACACCGGCGTGAGCACACACTCGCCACGCGTACATCTCACGGGCACGCACAGTGACGTTCCCATTCCCACACAGACATGATCGCAGGATGAAAAAGAGGGAAGGTCTGGGAGACATTCTGAACTGTGAAGCTCACGAATAACAGAACAGTGTAAGGAAATGAGTTATCAGATCTTAGAGCAACGTTTTCACCACAAAGCAATGTGTAGTATACATTAAAGCACCACACCATACGCCATAAATGCGTACAATTTTTATGTGTCAGAATGAATGGGTTGCCTATTTTTCTTGTCACCTGTGTGGCCGATGGCTTTGACTTTCAGTGGAAGTGGCAGAGGGAGGGAGGAGCCCGGGGATTGGATCCAGGGCCCGTGTGCTCGCCCGGGCCCTCTGCTCAGCTGCAGGCCTGCTGCAGGTATTTCTGTTGCCCGAGGCTCTCCGAACACAGAGGGTCACCATAAAATCGAATGGTCGTGGTTTTCTGGGTTAACCACTGAACCACAGAGCTGCAAATCCAAGCAGGGCATCTGCAGGCTCTCCTAACTCTGAAGCCCCTAAGTTAACACAGCGTCTAACCACGGATCGTCGGTGGCTGTGTCTGTCTGTCCATCTCGTCTCTGAACACTGCAGAAAACTCGGATGTTCATCTCTGACATATTTGCTCGACTTTGCATCAACACCGACTCTTTTACTTGGTTCTGAGAGATCTTAGTGGAATACAACGTGGTCCTTTTAAGAAAGGTAGATCAATCCAGAGTATGCTGGGTCCTTTTTGGAAGAGTTGAGGCTGTTTTAGAGAGAGCGACTGTTGACTGGCATGGAGTTAATTGCTGAAGGCACTGAGTTCTCCTGTTCTAACACTGAGCTCTTGTTTCAGTCATGTTCATGAATGAACTAAGGGAATGCAGGCAGACATGTGCACACGTGTCAAAGGAGTGTGGGCAGAGCCTATGCATACAAATTGTCACATCGCCAACTTGTAGAAAAATCCCAGCTACCCTGAAGCTGATGAATGAATCACAGGTGTGTGTGTGTGTGTGTGTACCCAATTGAATTCTATTTATCTAGTAAGTAGAATAATATAATGCCATTCCCAGGGAAATGAATAGACTTGGGAAAAAATCATATTGAGTGAACTAAGCCAGACTCAGAGACATGAACAGGGCATGCTTTCTCATCTATGGGGAAGTTAAGTATATGTATGTGTAAACATATGCATGGATATGTGATCAGACTAAGTTATGAAATGCTCGGGGGTGGATCTCCATGGTTTACCTTCTTTGAACAATTAACTGCTAATAAAACAAAATGAATACCAGGAAGTTGAACTATGTCTGTGCTGGGGAGCCCAGCTGCTGAGAGGAGGCATGGAAATAGAAAGAGGAATTATGGGTGAGCACAGTCATCACGCTCCCTGGACAGACATGAGAAGCGGAACTAAGGAACTGGAGAAGACAGGTGTGGATGTGGTCGATGGGGGGAGATGGTGGTGGGTGACTCTGACTTGGATGCATTCTACTCCCTGCACAGCTTTATATAACAATAATGAAAACACAGGCGTGCCTGAGTAATTTGGCCATCGCTGGCCACACTGTGGGCTTCATGGAACAGCGTGCTACAGCCCAGCTGCCCAGTCTTGCTGGGCCCTCCAGTTGTGAAGAATCCCCTCGGGCTCTGAGAGGATCGTGGAGCCCAAATTCTGTTGTGTCTCACCAGGAAGCCTTGGTGCAGTGGTCACCGACCCACTGAGAGATGTGCTCAGCAACGGAACAGATAAATAAACAGAAAAGGAACAGACGCTTCCAGAAGTTGTTCTGCTCTGGCTAGAGCAGAACACAGACCCATGCGCCCAGGGTGTCGATTGCCAGCCAAATCAGAATTGAGCTGCTCTCAGAAGTGACTCGGGTTGGTGTCAAAATCTGCCGCTCAGCGCTAAGGCGGTGGGGTACGAAGTCTTTTTAAATTCATGCCCAAGTTTCTCAAACCAAGACTTGGGAATGACAAAAGAGGAGAATGACGACACATATCCAGAAGATGAGGCCTTCTGCATGTGAGTTCTGGGGACCGGGGAGCAAGGGAAAGACAGCCTAACTATCACGATCGGTGTGGTTCCGTCTCCAGGCTTCTGTTTGGCTTCTCCATGTGTTTGAAAGTGACTCATGAGCTGAAGCCTGTGCTCCATCTCTACACTGAGCAGGAGAAGATTTGAAAGCTCACGGCACACAGGTCAAACTGTAATTTTGAAAGGGAGATGATTTTGAAAGGAAAACAGCTTCCTTGAGAAAGTTGTAGAGTGGCCGTGACCTGACAGACGAGAAGGTGGGAGGAGCTCGCAGGACGCAGGGGACAGAAGCAGCTTCAGAGCTATGGCAAAAAAAATGGGGGAAAATAACATAGATGGACTCTGCCCTGCTTCTTCTTTGTTTTTTGGTGTCTTCACTGAACTCCAGTTTGAGCTGGCTGTGG